GAATTTCCCATAAACTTGGCAGTACATGAAGTAAAAAAGTCACCTATTTACATTTGGCTGTTCCACTGGCCGAACAACACTTATCCTTGGTATGTTTCGCTGCAGAGGGGCTCGTGCGGAAGACCTGTTTTCACGGTTTTGCCCTGGTGCACTCCGATCCGAAAAGTGAAAATCCAGATTGAGCGTCTGTGGACCAGCTGCATGTTGCGCACTCTGCAACACCCCTCCATAAAATGAAATATGCCCAGTCACAGTATGTTTCTTTAAGTATTTACAGCTACTGGAGCCGTGTATTTAACTGACCTTATGTAACTTCAGTTCTGTGTCTGTTCGGAACGCAATGCCAAGTTTCACGCAGTCGCCATCTTCGCATATGAAGTGTTTCGCTTTGTAATGTTTCAGCAAGTCCTTATGCTGCCTGGAAGAAAAAACTTCTGCTTCAGGCAAAAAACGTTCATACGGAAGAACTCTACGTTTAGCTACTCTAATCGGCTGCTGCCTGATCATCCCTTGCCATCGCGTCAATAATGGAACTGCAAATTTCCCCGTTTCTTTTTAGTTTAGGGAATCCTTCATCCACATAGTTCCCAACAACTGCCTTCTTTGCTTTCTTCAAATGCTGCATGAATGCCACTTAATAATTACCTTGTCCACTGTGCATGAAATGTTGCTCCCCCCGCTGACAACCAGTGAAAGTCATGTAGTAGTAAGAAGTATGCATGAGGAAATAAATGACCACTCGGACAATCTCAAAACAAGTGACATGCACAAAACAAACAGAAATTCGATTTAACTATGCGTTTTTGCATATACGCAAATGTAAAATCGCATGTTGTGGCGTCTTCGGTGTGTGTATTCATCTGCCCGGATATTTCAACTTGGCAACCTCCGACGCCAAAATTTTGATAGTGGGCCCCCCAGCCAAGTGCCACGCTAGGACCGCGATAACAAACCTCGCACTCGTCCAGGCCTCGTGCACGAGCGCGTAAAAGCCTTCGCGGGAAATCGCTAACTAGGGAACCAGAAAATCTAGAAACCTGAAATTTTGCAGTTATTTCCCCCGTCTACACAGAACCCAAAGATTTAAAATTCTTTTCGGCGGGAAAATCGGTAACTCATAAACCAGGAAAAGCTGGAAGTCCGAGATTTTAATGGGATGATTCCAGCTCACGTACAACTCAAATTTTTTAAACCCAGCCTCGAGGTACGTTCTCACATACGACCCCAGGAAAATCTTTGGCGAGAAAATTGCTAATTCGAGGAACAGAAACGACAGAAAGCTGAAATTTTGACATTCCCTCAAAGTACCATGTAGCTGCACAATTAATTTCCTGAAGTTCGAGGACTAGTGTGCCATAAATTCTTGTTACTGTGATTCCAAGCGATCTTACAACACCATGAAATACTGCAAAAACGCACGATCTTATGGGCCGCCCGGTGCGCGCCCTCAATGATTTATATAACTCACCAGGTGCAGATGTGCCTGACATGTGGAATATCTCAGTAATATCATTAACATGGGACTCCCACATCGACTGTTTATGCAGCCCTTGTATTATATATAACTAGTTTTAAGGAAGAGAAATATTGAGCCATTTTTTCTACTGAAGTTGCATATAGCCCATTTAGTGTTCACATTTTATTCACTGATGAGAGTAATAATTTTACCCTATCCGTATTAATTTTTCCCTATCCGTAATAATTTTACCCTATCCGTATTTGCCCTACTATGAGTAGGGCAAATACGAATAGGGTAAAATTATTACTCTCACCTCTTCTCTCCTTACAGTTCAGTTCTTTAAGACTTAAGCAAATTTTTGCATACATGAACAACTATAATGCTTACGCAAAGAAATAATTGCTTTTTCCATCGGCATCACAAATCTGGCAGAAGAAATGAATTCTTCGAAGATGCTGGTACCGAAAGTCATCATCCAAGAAACGCTCACTACAAAACAAACACTGCGGATGGCCTGAAAATAAAAAATAACTGGAAATTAAATTTTTAAAACTTTTTATATGAAATATCTCGCATTAAGCCCACAGCTTCGGAGAAAGGAAATGAAATTTCGAGGATGAAAAAAACGAGATTCAACGTCATGTAATGGCAAAAAACGAACTCGCCGTCAAAAAACTAATGATACCATACACGAGATTTGACTGCTGTTGCAGAAATTAAAAGTAATGCCTGCAGCCAGTGGAAACTCCATGTCTCAAATTTTAAGTAAACTAACGCTTTAAGTACTTACTTTGGACCAATCGTTGTTTTCGAAGAAAATGAAACACTTAACTAGTACAACCTTTTTTCAAAGTCATAAAACTATTGCTCCTCTACAGATTCGATCATCAGTACCGATCGCCCTTCCAAAAATAAAAGTTTTTAACACACCTTTATGGCTTTTGTCGTCAGGATCGCCTGTCTCAAGGTGAATTTGTAAATCCCTCTGTGAATAAAACCTCCTCTCACGAGTGAACAAATTCAGATTTTCCACACAAATAGAACAAAATTCGAATTTATGAACCATGTACATATGCTGATCCAATAGAGGAAACGTTTGGAATATCCGTTTCTCGCCCCTGTAATTTAAAATAGGTGCCATCCAATACAAACAAAAATGTAGTACTAAAAAAAAAAAAAAACAGTAACAGAACGTACTTTGTCCTTTCGCACATAAGGCACCCGTGCGCCAGATAATTATCATAGCAACGTGCCACGTAGTCATCTGCCAATTTGATTTTGTGCTTTTCAGCCTCGCTATGTTGCACGTAGTCTTGCGGCAGCTTGAAATTGCGCCAATCACCGGAATAAGGCACTATGTGTAGCTGAAATTACAAAATCCCTCTTTATTTGCTGGAGCAGTTAAGGAAAACAGCAGCTTGTCCCATCCCTTCAGCAGCTTTGCCATTCCCTTCAGTAGCCCCCACTCACTGCTCAGTCCTTTCGAATTAGTGCCCTGTTGTTTTCAATTTATCACATTTCCAATTTTTTTGCAAATCCGGTGTAGCCAGAAGTAACACTGCTCTCAAGCTCATATCCGATTCGGACCGTGGCTAAACTTCGGTCAGCCGCGAGGCAAATTGGTGCTAGCACTGCAAGGGAGTCAGAAGAGCAATCAGTTTACTTATGAGAAATCCCTGAAAGGAAAAAACATCGCCAATAAGAGTTAGCCATTTAGGTACTGCAGCCTCCCACAGATGGCAAAATATGGAGGAGGTAATTTCTACTTTTGAGTTCAAACTTCTTTGTTTCGTGAAAGCTTGATATTTTCTTCCATACTTAACAGATTAGCTTCTCACTTAAGTAAGTGTGTTCCTTAATAGCTAAGCACACCACCACCAACTGTTTACCTGCTGATGCGCAGGCAACTACTATAGCATTCGTTGCTAAAAGTGTCAGTCTTTAGGACGTCGAAAATTTATGATAAAACGACACCTGCCCAAATCAACACAGATCTCGTCCAGTATTTTAATTCCTAAAATATGCCTAAAAATGGATTTTTGAGCGGAAGAAGTAATTCCAGCAGCAAAAACGGCTAATTACGAGGTGCACGAAAACCAGGCAGTCCAGCAAGTATCAGAATTTGGGAGCCACACAATGTGATTGATCGTTCTCACATACAGAAAAAATTGCAACTAACTTCAAAATATCAGCTCCAACCTACAGTTAAAAGACTTCCCACTTTTTCAGTTTCTAACTCCTGAGCGTCATGAATCATATTCCAATAAACATACAAATATACACACATGCATAAACACACACCACCCTGCCACATCCTAATTTTCAACTGTAAAATAGCCAAAACACTTTAAAGTATCAACTTTCAGCATCTTTTTTGAAGCCGGAGGTCGTTACATGAATAGAAATGAAACGAATGAGACCAAAAGCTTCGCGCTTCCGGGACTCTCGACTTGATGCAAGAGCGACCCAAGTTGCAACGCGCCAGGCTTGTCGATGCAATCATGCGTTTTGCGCTAAACTTGCAGACCACTAACAATA